GCCACCATCCCCCTCAAACCCTTTGCCTACTGTGCACATCTGCCGGCGGCCGTGACCACTGGACGTTCTGCCCCTGAGCGAGAGGGGGTTCAGCGTGATGGGGTGATGGGGAACAGCCGGTTGCAGTCCCGCTACACTCGGGGACATGGAAACAAATCGTTTGATTTTCGGTCATAGTCATAGACATAGACCAATATAAATTCAATAAACATCAGTTTTTGCAGTCTTCCAACTCTGCCGCATTTTGGTCTTGTTCATCCATAAAGATCCCAAAAATCCGACAAAGGCGGACTAAGTTGCTCAGTTGGAAGATTTCCTTTGTGCAGGAGCTTTGCAGGTCCAGCCCTCGAGGCATCGGCTGCACCGGTGCGTAGCTCCTACTACTTAAGGGTTTGCACCAAATGTCCAAATGTGTAAATTTGATATATCTTGTCCATCAAACATCTAAGCCACATCAAAAGGACTCAACATGCAATGATTTCTTGCATAGACCCTGTGATGGTGGTCCTGTCTCTTGTTGCTCCTCTGTCCACTCTTGGTGTTCACCTCGAGGAGCACATTGGTACACCCATTTTCCAGGCGCAATGAGATCTATGCGGATTTGGGAGCGAATTTCTGGGCACAAGTCAGGACTCCGACACATGCTCTCTCTTGAGCCTCTTAGCTGGCGCATGCTTAGCTGCAAGCTCCACCACATTTAAAAAATCCACCACATCCTGAAAGCCGTGTTTAGCTGCAAGCTCCACAGGAGTTTCTCCGTCCCGAGTCCTAGCATCGCGGGTAGCGCCAAACTCCACTAACAATTGGACGACGTCCAGGTAACCGCATCGAGCCGCCCAATGCAAAGAAGTCCAGCCGGCGACTGGGTCCACGACCCATGCATGATCACATGTCGCTCCAGCCTGCAGCAGCAAGTGCACCATTTCCAGGTGACGATTCACAGCCGCCTCATGCAAAGCAGTTCCACCGTGCGAGCAGGCTTGATTGCAAGAGGCCCCAGCCTCCAGCAACAATCGCACCAGTTCCAGGTCGCCAATTTTAGCTGCCAAATATAAAGCTGGTATGCCCTCTGCATCTGCTGTGTTGGAAGAGGCCGCAGCCTGCAGCAACAAGCGTACCACTTGCAAGTGGTCATGAGCGGCAGCACAGTGCAGAGGAGTTATGCCTTTATGATAACCTTCATAAGATGTGGCTCTATCACAAGAGGCCCCAGCCTCCAGCAATATGCCCACCACATCCACGTGGCCAGCTGCAGCTGCCCCATGCAACCCTGTATAGCCGTCTGTATTAGCTGTGTTGGGGTCCTGAGGCTGATGCAGCCTCCTTTCAACTTCTTCCAGGCGTCCTTCCTGACAAGCGTCAATAAATTCATCATCTCGTTCTTCGTCTGCTGGTAGGAATGCCAGCCTGACCATCTTCAGCACCAGTGGCGGGACAATCGCCACATCGTCACCAAGCTCCAGATGTTCTTCTGCTTGCAAGAGCCGCAGTCGAAACCTTGATCCAAGATCCCGAGACACAAGTTCCAGCTTCAGTGCTTTGATGGTGTTGCCCCGTTCTTCCACCAGAGCTTGGAACTCCTCGTCGCTGAAGACCACAGCATTTTCACCGGATGCTGCCGAAAGCAAACGCAGCGCCATCTATGTGACAGCTCCAGTAATGGAATTGGGCACGCACTTGTGATGCAGTCAAACAGGGGGATTACCTTTTGTGCGACAGCTTGTGGATCCTATCATATCCTATCACTATCCTCCACCCTCTATGTCAATTCTACTTATGGGCCATGGGTGGTTGGTAGTTGATTTGCGCCTAGAGTGCGTTTGGTGCCCAGTCTCTGCGCATCCATCTCTGGTCGTTCCCAAAGCTCCTTGTGAACGTCATGCGACGTGATGATCGAGCTGAAGAAGCACGTCGCACCCGAAATAATCATCGAAGTGGAGCTCACAATCCCCAGACATGACCCATGGGACTGCCATATATGCCGCCCACCACCCCAATTGATCGACAGTCCTATGGCAGTCCCATGGGTGGTGTCTGGGATCTGTTTGGTGTTTGAACGACAAACAGACACCCGAAACGGGGCAATGCCATCTACGTAGCCAGGATGATGAGGCCCGGGAGTGTCTTGTGTGCATGTTCGTCCCCGCTCTTTTAATAAAGCTCTGCCTCCAGCAGCGATCAACAAGAACAAAGGTGAGAGTACAAGACACACCCTTCAAGCAACCAGAACAAGAACAATTTTACTTGATGCAAAAGAGATCCCAAGGGTTCTCAGAACCATTTCATTGAAACTTGCTACTACCATCCCGAACTAAAACCTCCGGACCTATCCAGTACTTTATCCATCTTCGAAACACAAAACTCACCACTTCACCCCACACATCTTGGGTGACCGATTCAGGTGGAGAATAGGATGGAAAAACTAGATGGAAACTCAAAGAGTCCATTGATAGAAGGGCTCAAGAAAGGACCCAAAGCACTGCAAATACTGCAGTTGTTTGACGAGAACCGTCTCCCAAGCGATTCCAGGCTTTGTGGTACTGTCGGGTAGGTATTTATCGAAGCCCAACAGATCTGGGTCTGGCAACTGTGGCAAGCTACTGCTTTGTTCAGCATGGTCGAATGAACGCCGACCCTTGCTTTCTGTCAAACTCTGCCTTTACCTTCGACTCCTTCCTTGCCAAAGTTGTGCATATTTGCGCGCAGGAATCTCTGGAAGCGAAACCCAAAGCTGGCAGCGATCCTAGTGATCCTAGTGCCCCAATCCGGCAGCGATGTTTCTCTAGGCGCGATGCGGACTCGCCCGGTATCTCCGGCTTGGTCGCTCGTTTCGACGGAGCCCCGAGCCGCCAGGCCAAGTTCTCAGCGGAATTCGTGCTGGAGAGCCGGGGCCTGGAGAGGAGAGAGGTGGAAACGCAGCTGGCCATCCGAAATGACGGTTCAACCCACTTCATGCCCTGTAGAAGAAGCATGCGCATAATCACTGGCAAACACTCATACCATTCGCATGATCATGCATGATCATATGATTCTGTTGACGTATATAATTTATGTGTCCAACAAAACCATGTACCGATACCTAGCCACTTCCTCTCCGGCCTGGGCCGGCACGCCGCTGGATAGGGCGGCGCCATCCTGGGATAGGGCGCCGGAAGGACCGGTGCTGCCGGTCACGGCGTTGGTCCTATATGACATACGAGTAGTAGTAGCACCAAAAACAGGGGTTCGGACTGACCTTGCATGTAGATTCTGAGATTTCTTGGATTCTAAAATCTTAGAGATCGACATGATCTATTTGGGCAGAAGAGCAAAACACCATTGTCCATGCTGGGCGGAAGAGACCTCTTGCCAACCATATTGAAAAATAAATACCAAACACAAAAAACTTCCGATAACAAGCCCTTATGTCAAAAAACAGGTCCAAAACAAGTCAAAAAGCGAAACGAGTGTCAGTGTCAAACGAATCCTCACGATTGCAAAAACCACTCCAAATCCAAAGGAATCTCAAACGATCTCTCACACGATGTCGACCGGCCAACCGACACCAGGCCACTGCGTGGGCACCGGCGCCGTGGGCTCTGGATGGCTCAAGGTGGGAGCCGGAGCCTGGAGGGTGGAGTGCTGGAAATGCAGGTTTGCCGAAAACTTGCGGGATGAACAAGCTTAGCTCTTCGCATCTAGCTCTAGGATCGCCCCCAGCCGCCCTTTACGGCAGACTTAGGAATGACCTTTTCTGGGGAACTTGACAGCCCTATCATTATCACAGAATAACTATACATATTTTGTACATTTTGTCCACCCTGCTTACTCCACCCAGCAAGGACTCAACAAATGATGATGACTCAGCCCGCTAACTCATTCGGGTTCCCCAGAAATCAAGCGGCAAATCCTTCGCGCACCACCGATGCTCTGCTCGTCCGGACGCGTGTTGGTCGGAGATCCACCTCTTGGAGTTGAGTTAGACTGGGTAGGCCGAAAACTTGACAAGAAGACCCAAGAAGCACTGGGGTTGCGGCAAGTACTACGGGCTGAAACCTTCTTTGCGAAAAAGCGGTCGGAAATGAACACGGGGTGTCTATCGGAATCACTGACGTCGTGGAGCATGATGTATGGCGCTGGCACGAGAAAAACCCCCCGCGATGTAGCCACTGGCTACATTCATTGGCTACCCAATTCGTTGGGTAAAAAATGTAATAGCTCCACCTGCTTTACCAGCTATGTCCTCAAGGCAGTAAGGCTATTGTAAGGAAAGAAACACATCCGCTGCAGTGAGGACTCGTCTGGTCAGGACCGGTCCCCCCAAATCGACGCATGCGGCCTGTTGGATTCGCGGGGAGACACCGGAGACACCTCACGGCATGAGACGGCTCCCCTCCCGGGCAGGTGAAAAGAGGTGAAACATGGATATGCCACTGGTCCAGCAAAGTCTTGGTATATGTCCAGCTGCTCTTCCAGTATCTTACATAGAGTCATCTCCTAGTCTCCTACTGTATCTTCTCCACAGCGTTCTCCAAATCCCACCAAATGTTTTGGCCAACAGAGCCGCGGGTTCTGCTTCGCTACTTTCACGAAGCCGAGACTTGGCTAACATTCGTCATGGGGCGTTTTCATGCGGTCGCACAACTCCCATTTGGGATGAAGGTCTAGCAGCTTGCTATATGACTCCAACTACCCTCAGCTTTGAGACTGAGAATGCAAATGCAAACACTATTTTGATACCCATATAGAACGAAGCTATTTGACTCCTGTTTTGATGGAAACTGTTGGACCATATTTCGGATGCCAACATGAAGAACCGAGTCAGACCGGTCTGAGGGCCTCGTCCGTGAAGCTCTGGCTGGTTGACGTCATAGGCCGCGCGTTTTTTGGACCGATTCTTAGAACTTAGAGGCAACCAAAGGCTGAAGAACTCTGAGTAGACTATCCCGGTCCCATAGGTCCCATACCCCATAGGTACCCCAGAGGTACGCCCATCAAGTCACTTAACCTCCGAGCTTCATGACATACCTGGAGACTGGCTGGTGATTGGACGGTTTTTTCCTGCGGTTTTAGTTGTTTGGTTCGCTTTGGAACCGCCGTTGAAGCCGATCCGACCGGCAAAAAAGGGGTGTGGGAATCACTCAGGGAATCCAGCCATCCAATAGCTTGCGCCACATCTCCTTGGCTACGCAGGAAACATGAGCCGGGACTGCAAGACAGCAGGGTGGAAGATCTGCTGGTGGCTGGATTGAATCATCCGTATTCTTCGTCTCGGCCCTACAGGGCTCCTACATCCATCATCCGCTCTGCGGTCCAACTACCATCAGGTATATAATTACTTGGAGCCCTAGAAGGGGGCGCCAAAGCAGTTTCCACGTCTTTTGCATGTTCATCAATAGCTCCAAACTGGCCAGTGTTTCTTTTTCAAAGCACCTTTCACCCCAACATCTACCCTCTGACTCACTAACATGGAAGTGGAAAACCAGCTGCTTGTAGAGGTCGATGGTCCATTTCCAGTAGCCAGGACATCCCTTTTCCATTGTTTGTGTTCGTCGGCGGAGCGTATATCTGACAAACCTTGTCAGCGTCGATCTCTCTTTTCATGTGGCTTTTTCGCACCTTTCATCACCCCCAACATCGTCATCAATCCCCTATATCAATCACCTTTCATCACCTTTCATCAATCCCCTATATCAATCACCTGAGCCTTCGATCTGAAGACCCTGACCCACCCGTGGCCATCCCTCTCCAGCGCTCCTCCGCTCCCTCCGCCCGCAGCCGCGCCAGCGCCGCGCGCAGGTCGCCCGGCAGCGGCGCGGAGGCCGTGTGGGGGCGACCCGCTGGGTCCTTCGAAGAGATCGAGGAGGGGATGAGGGTAGGTAGTGGACTCAAATTGAGGAGGAAGTGGTTTGTTTTCCAATTTAGAAGTTTTTTTTGCGAAGGACTCATGTACTGTACTGTAAGAGGATCTTGCACTTGCACGAACTTGCACTTGCATTGAGGCAAACGGTTTGGCGGAAGAAGAGACGTTCGATGGTACAGGAGTCAACATGAGTCAACTGAAAGTCTTTGAACAGAGTCAGGCAAAGCAACAAGTCAGTCTCGTGATTCGGCGTGGGTTTTTCGTTGGACGTTCGATCTTGCACTGGTGCAAATAGCAGCTAGTCCTCGAGTCCTCTGGACAGGGATAACAATCTCCTAAAGCGTTCCGCAACAGGAACATCCTGGTCCTTGTGTCGTTTGGGGTGCTGTTTGGTCTTCTTCCATCCGGCGCAGTACTGTTTGGAACTCGCAGCATGGAAGGACCAAAGCGAACTTTTGAAGGCTTTGTCTGGCGGCTTCAGGCTTTTTCTGGTTCCTGTTCAGATAAACATGTTGGTCCTCAGCATCCTCTGTCAGTTATTTTTCTTCAGGCCTTCTTGGGTCAATGGGCCTAGTCAGTGACCCCCACCAGTCCATCTGCACTGGACTGGTCGATTCCAACTGCCCCCTCCATCTCCTGGAAGCGTAGCTGGAAGCGATGCAGGAAGTTGCGCGGGCACCAACGCAGGTCCTCCGCCGCGAGCGCTCCACCGTATTTGGTGTCGGCGACGGTGGGGTGGCCTCGCAGGATGTGGCGTGGCGGGCCACCCGGTCCGGCAGGTGGGGAAGTGGGCGATGGTGCCATTCAGCAGCCATTATATATCCCAATACACTCCATGTATGGAATATTTGCTTACATGATCTTACATTGACCCTCCCACACCACCCCAACTGATCGGCATATATGGCATACATGGAGTGTCTGGGTCTTGCTGTACATACTATACTGCAGGAAAGTCTATGAGGTTCGAACCCCGAAATTCGTGAGTAGCGGGTACCGGAATTCAACTTCAATCAGTCCAGGTGTTGTTCGACCTCCATACATACAGGATCCTGCGGCGAGGCGGCTTTGAAAGCAACATATTGTGATGAAGATAGCTGGGTGATGCGGGTATCGATCCATCACTGTCTGGAATGCAAGGACGGGTGATGCAAGGACAGGACGGATTCAAGGGAACTCGGCAATTTGCAAAGCCTGCAGTATCTGAGTTCCTTGATTCCTCCACCTCACAGGCTCCTAACTAGTAATGCAGAAATCAAAGAAGCTGGACGTGTTCATGCAAAAATAAGATAAACATCCCCGCGCCGCGCGCCTATGTGCTGCGCATGGACTCTGATTTGATGAGTCCTTCCAGTTCGAATGACCACTATGAGCAGGGTGTACTTCTCGGTGCCCCGGGATAGCAGCAGCAACGGCTGAAAGTGAGTCCAGGCAGGTTTGCCTGAAGCACTGACCTGAAGCACTGAAGTCTGAAGCACAAACAGGAAAACCTGGTGTTCATTCAGCCTTATTTGAAGGCCACATGACACTACACCAGCTCTGGCCATCACATTCCTTGCAAAGTCATGGAGGCCAAAACATGTTTGCTTGACCAAACAAGAATCGGCCATAGATGACTGAAGTTGCAGTCTTGTTCATGGAGACATTCGTTCATCATTGTGACATGTCCCGGTAAGTTAACACCTTACTAAGCAACCAAACATGAAGTGCCATTCACCTAGCTGCTCAATTTAGTAACTACAAAAGCCACTCCGTCTCTAGCTGCTTCAGGGATTGACTCTACAACGTTCCAGCCGGCTTTCCCCGGCTTGGACCATTCTCTCTGGCTCTGTCCGAGCAGCACAGCTGGACACTGGGTTAGACTTGGTCGTCTTCAGCCGCGCATTCACCACCTGCTCCTCCTCGCTTCGGAACGAGACAGGTGCGCCGGAAACCCACCAACCGTGGTTGCCGCGAGGTACAGGGCATGTCTAGCCTCCCAAGCCTATATTATTGGCTTAGTGGGCCCCCTTTATATATTATATTGATACGTGTGTGACCGTATGTGTGTTCAATGACCAGGTGGTGTTTCTGTTGGCAGTGTGAATCTGAAGTGCTTTGGCCAAGCGTCTACCACTCCGTGGCATAGGACCAAATAGTTGCGCCCCAGGTCATAGGTATCTTGCTGCCAGCGCAAGGAGAAGTAGCCTCGGAAGGTCTTGCCTCGATGCAGGTCCAGACGTAAGAGGAGCGAACAGCCGGATGAGACTGGACTCGATTAGAGTCCAGGGCCAGATGAGCTGAAGACCCAAAGATAGGACCTGCCTGTTGAAGGTCTTGTAAGTAGCAGAGCATGGGACATCCGGGAAATATCTGCACTTCTTGGCCAACAAAAACAGTGCCAAATATAGGACAAGTATCCCCCTTGGAATTAAGTGGGGTGGGTGGGTATATTGATTTTATAGTGCCAAAATGCTGCAGAAATAACAGTGACAAAGAAAATCATTTTCAGCTCTATAGAATTTGGTTCTTGATCTGGAAACTAAGTCACAGCTCGTAGGAATTTCAAGCAACCTCTATAGAATCGTAGGGCACAGGGTACTCTCGAACACATCTTTTGTGTAAAACGGGATCATAATGGCCTCTATAGAATAGCAGGCTTTGCGTTGCACAACCTATTCCTGTACCAACCTATTCCTGAATGAAGGCTACAACAATTCTATTGTTTTTGAACATGTTATATTGACCAAAGTCGCCTTCACAGCCGTTTTTGACAGCAGCTGCATATAGACAATCTATATATAGAATTGAGAACCTTGATATGTCAAATTCCATGCTTGCTTCACTACATGATCAGATTTCCATAGATTTCCTTGGATTATATAAACAGATCTGTAGATCCACACTCAAAAATCCTCTACAGAATCGAGGCTCGTACTTTCCTGTTTTCTCTTTAAAATCAGACTCTCTGAAATGCCACCTCCAACATGGGCTGCTCATTCTGGCCGAATTTTTTGGTCATTTGGTGATGGTATCATGTATCATCATCGATTTTGTAGAGGAAATACCAAGCCCAGACACTCCATGTATGGAATATTTGCCTACATTGACGCCTCCGGCACCACCCCTGGCCGTTTTGAAGGCAGTCCGACATGGCAGTCCCATGTGTCGTGTTTGGGAAGGGGAATGGACAAGTACGACATGTTTTTTTGACTCAAACCCTCAAGGAGCGAATCTGTGTTTGAACCGACCCTCTTCAATGATCCTCCCCCGTTGCTTTTCAAGACAAAGGGTCACAGCTCCGGTCGGAGACGGCGTCATAAGTACTGTCGGAGCTTCGTTCCCACCTAACCAACCGGCGAAAAACCTGGAGATTCTCATCTTCACTTCTCACTAGATGGGTTGCTACCAGCATCACCTGCACCCGCCAGCCATGTGCTCTTCCCACCCCCACCGCGCCTACAAGGATGAGGCCGGAGCTGGGCAAATCCAAGCGATGGAGGATCCCGAACTGATGCTCCTCACCTTGGATTGCATGGAACGATCCTCGATGCTGAGCTCATACATGGCTGGAGCTCGGCTTGATTGGGAGCTCAGCCGTGCGGAGCTCCCGGCTGTCCGGATTTGCTGTTTGGATCAGGTGAGATCGGTGAGATGCGAAGTAACACCTACGCCGTGATTGCGAGAGGAGAAGCACTAGGAGAAGCACCAAGCACAAGAAGCAACAGCAGAATTAAGGGGACGAAATGATGCACACGTCCTCACTGACCAAGTCGCTGAAGATCAAGGGGAAGTCCTCCCAACCTTCCACGCCTGGCATTGGCATGATGGCTGCTTCCGTGCTTGCGAGTGTGTGGGTTGTAGGATCACCCATATGAGGAGACATACGTGAAGGGCGTGAAAATGCTTGGGGGGAGTAAGTAGTACTATGAAGACCACACACCCACTTCGTACAGCTCATGAGAAAGGAGTCTTGCTATGTTTGGGTTCCCCTTAGCCAATACCTGGCTGCCAGACCTAGCAGCCTCCAGACCGCTGCTGAGCGACTCGACTCTCGTTTGGGATCCCCGACCGTCGTTAAACACCAAGTAAGTGACACCAAGATGTGTGTGAAAGCACCTTCATGGCCTTCTTGGCCTTCTGATGAAGAGCGAAAAAGAACAACAGCTCTCCGCAAAGAACAACAGCTCTCCTCATGCAATGAACAAGTGCACAAGCTCGGCGGGTTGCATCCACACAAGTCAAGTCCACAAAAGTCTTGCGGCCCTCTACATGGTGACAGTAGATGCCAGTCGAGTTGTGTGGAATTGATGGTCGCCTCAGTGGTGAATTTGAACCACCGATCCTGGACATAAGAACTGCGGAGTAAAATACATCGTTTGTTCACATCAACACTTAACCAGACCCTAGAGATCGACGACTGGACCCTCCTGGCACCTACATAAGAGTGTCGAACACATCACCGAACCTGAGGTCCGGTACGACTGGATCCCTAAACCCGATATCCATGGATCGGTCGCTCACATCCGGTGTCTTCCGAACCGAACCATGCATCTGACCTCCGAGATCGCTCCGATCCAACGCCCCAGAGTTCGTATGGGTGCCACCGCCTCGACACGTCGCAACGGACGGGCCGGAGGATCGGACTCCGTCCGTTACGGTCCAGTCGCCACCTTCCCACTTCTGACCGTGGACGGTACAAGTGAAACCAATTGAAACCATACAACCTCCTTTCTTCCGAGCGAAGTCCTCCGGCTCTTCCCCAAAAACCATCGGACCCCAACAAAAACCATCAACCCCCCAAAAACCTCGTCGTGCCTTGCAAGAAGCTGCTCAACTTGGCATCATGTGGCGCTGTCGCGTCGGGCGCGGTGGTGGGCGCGTGGGCGTCCACTTCCCAGTAGGGCGGCTTCCTGAGCAGCGCCATGGAAATCCCACCAGTACTACTCCGGAGAAAGGTTTGAATGTTGCCTCTCCGGACTAGAATCTTACCACTGGCGCCACTAGTAAATTTAAGATCCCCTCCAAAACAGGTGATCCATCTCAAGAAAATATTACTTTTTGGCACTGTAATTAGCTGTGGTAGGGCCCAGGATAACCAAACTGGACGGAGCAAGATGGAAATTGTGCATCAAGAACTTGAAGCTTACTTGTAGATATCTGCAGTTCCATCTCAGCATCTCTCAGCTACAACTATCTCCGATACTCCACTAAAATATTTGGGAACTCTCCACACATCCACACCCTACACTCATTAAGCAAACCCACTGACTAGCCATTGCGCCAAGCATCAGCACTACCGCCACCTCCGGCAAGTTCAGCTGCAGCACCGGCCACTCCAGCTCTTCCCGCCGAGGGAGCTCTTCGTCGCACGTCCTGGACGGCTGGTGGGCGACCCTTTCAGGAACGATATCCCCGTTCCAAGGACTGGGGACCCAGCCATGTTCGCTACAAGGCAGCAAGCAAAGGGCATCGTGACGAGGACCGGAACGAGAGCAGGGGGGCTCCTGGCCTTACTACTAGAAACAATATGAAACAATAAAGCTACTAGTAACATTCAGAACGAAGAGAACGACATGTCAAAATGGATTCAGGCTAAGGAATCACCCTCCTGGGGATGTTCATGGACTGGGGTCGCTGGGGTAGTTCAGTTGGGTCTTAAGGAAAGAGTTTGTGAGAGGCAATGCTGTGCACTTTTTCTGTGCCCAGAAAGGAGCCGGTCTTCTACGTCAACAATACCCAAAACCAGTCTCCAAAACCACCCCCCGCACATGGAAGCGCAAAAAAGCTGCCAACGCCTGCCGCTCTCTGGCCAAAATCTGCCGGAAGAGCGCGAGGAATCAAGTCTCCTACGTCACTCGCATCACCAATATGGAGAGATGAACACCATCGGTTGCACCACAGCCCTGCAGCCCTGAGTGATCTTTGGTGCGAACCTCCGCGGACAGGCATTTTTTTTGGTGTTCCTGCGAGAATCTCACAACAAATTTCTGCAGAACCTTTCTTAGAGTTTCTGATGCGCTAGTGGCACTAGTGGATTTGAATGGTTCCAAAAAGAAAGTGGAGATCCAAAGTAAGACAAATGGATAGGTCTTTCCGCATTTGTTCCGCGAATCCGATACGTGCCTGAAGAGACACTCGACGACCCCAAATGGTTCCTGGAGAACCGCCCTGAAGGATCCGATGCAACGCAACATGACCGATGCTCGTGAGGGAAAGGCAGCACGGCACCACTCAGCACTCCCAGCATTCTCGTTGAATGGTTGGGAATGACCCATGTGAGGCATATTAATGAATGAACATCTACTTAAGGGTTTGCACCAAATGTATCCAAATGTCCAAATGTTTCGTAAATTTGATAGTATATCTTGTCCATCAGACATCTAAGCCACATCAAAAGGACTCTTTCTTGCAATGCTTTCTTGCATGGACCCTGTGATGGTCCTGTCTCTTGTTGTTCACCTGGAGGAGCGGTACACCCATTGGACCCGGGCGCAATGAGATCGATCTGTGAACTTTCTTGAGCACCAAATTTCTGGGCACAAGTCAGGACTCCGACCCATGTTCTGTCTTGAGCCTCTTAGCCGGCTCATGATTAAACCAATCCACCACATCCTGAAAGCCGTGCTTAGCTGCAAGCTCCACAGGAGTTTCTCCGTCCCGAGTTCTAGCATCGCGGGCAGCGCCAAACTCCACTAACAATTGGACGACGTCCAGGTAACCGCCTCGAGCCGCCCAATGCAAAGAAGTCCAGCCGGCGACTGGGCCCAGGACTACTGCATGATCACATGTCGCTCCAGCCTGCAGCAGCAAGCGCACCATTTCCAGGTGGCCATTCGCAGCCGCGTCATGCAAAGCAGTTCCACCGCCTGAGCAGGCTTGATTGCAAGAGGCCTCAGCCTCCAACAACAATCGCACCAGTTCCAGGTCGCCATTTTGAGCTGCCGCATGCAACCCTGTATAGCCCTCTATATCAGCTGTGTTGGGGTCCTGATGCTGATGCAAACTGTTTGCAACTGCTTGAAGGTCTCCATCCTGACATGCATCAAGGAATTCCTGATCTCGACCTTCGTCTGCGGGTAGGAAGGCCAGCTTGACCATCTTCAGCACCAGTGGCGGGACAATCACCACATCATCACCAACCTCCAGATGCTCTCCGGCGTGCAAGAGCCGCAAACAAAACCTTGATCCAAATCCTCGAGACGCAAGTTCCAGCTTCAGTGCTTTGATGGTGTTGCCCCGTTCTTCCACCAGAGCTTGGAACTCCTCGTCGCTGAAGACCACAGCATTTTCACCGGATGCCGCCCAACGCACTAGCAGCGCCATCTATGTGACAGCTCCAGTAATGGAATTGGGCACGCACTTGTGATGCAGTCAAACAGGTGGATTACCTTTTGTGCGACAGCTTGTGGATCCTATCATTATCCTCCACCCTCGATGTCAATTCTACTTATGGGCCATGGGTGGTTGGTAGTTGGTTTGCGCCTAGAGTGCGTTTGGTGCCCACTCTCTGCGCATCCATCTCTGGTCGTTCCCAAAGCTCCTTGTGAACGTCATGCGACGTGATGATCGAGCTGAAGAAGCACGTCGCACCCGAAATAATCATTGAAGTGGAGCTCACAATCCCCAGACACTCCATGGGACTGCCATATATGCCGCCCACCACCCCAACTGATCGACAGTCCTATGGCAGTCCCATGGGTGGTGTCTGGGATCTGTTTGGTGTTTGAACGACAAATAGTCATCCGAAATCGGGGCAATGCCATCTACGTAGCCAGGATGACGAGGCCCGGGAGTGTCTTGTGTGCATGTTCGTCCCCTCTCTTTTTTTAATGAAGCTCTGCCTCCAGCAGCGATCAACAAGAACAAAGGTGAGAGTACAAGACACACCCTTCAATCAACCAGAACAAGAACAATTTTACTTGCTGCAAAAGGGATCCCAAGGGTTCTCAGAACCATTTCATTGACACTTGCTACTACCATCTCGAAAAAACACCTCCGGACCTATCCAGTATCCATCTTCGAAACACTCACCAATCCCACCCCACACTTCACACACATCTGCAAAAAAACAAAAAAACACATCAAACACATACAGTAACTATATAGACATAGCTCTGCTCCAACACATCCCAACGCTCATGCGGAACGAGTCTTCCTCCCATCCTTTTTGGGTCTCCAACACCGGATCCCTAGGTCGCAACGAAACAAACACAACTGACAGGCAACTGACTGGCAGTCCTACCCCAAACCATAAAATCATGGGTTTAGTCCATGGGGGACTCAGGCATTTTCGGTCGTTTCTCGGTCGAATTTGCTACGTTTTGATCATTCCAAACATCTCTCGAGGCTCCCTAGACTGAGCCTAATCGCGCGCCAAAGAATTCAGTGGCTCTTGCAAGAAGTGGAGGAATTGTTTACCCTCACTCTTTTCCCATTCAACCGGAACTGTTCAGGGTCAAAACTTGTCACTTGTGCCGATGCAGAACCAAAAAACGTGTTTATAGTTGAGCATTCAAAGACACGTCTTCATGACTGCATGAAGACATGTCCGAAGTGGTGGCCAGTGTGAAGACCCTCGTCTCCTCGTCTCCTCGGTGGGGAGAACCCCCCCCCGGTTGGTTGGATTCTCAGCACCCAACGACAGGTTATTCATCGAAACAACCATGTCAACACGTAAGTGGTCGCGTCGCTGTCGACGAGATCGTAGTCTGGGAGCCCAATCCCAGTGCCACCATCGATGCTGATTCGGTTGGCCGACATCTCTAAACTATAGTCATACCAGGACCTTCAGTACGTGACCTCTTTGGAGTCTGGACAGTGACCTCTTCAGGACGAGGACGAGTTGCGACCGACCCGCCAAGGTCGAAACGAAACAGGGCGGTCGCGAACCGACCAACCGACGGTGACAGGTGTACCATCGACTGGGCCTAAGTCATGTTTCACATCACATCAGGCGCGCGCAAGCACCATCGTTGGCAACGGAACGATCCACAGACAGAGACGACATCGCCAGTGGCGCCCAAGGCGTAGTGCGTGGAGAAACCGCGCGGGAAACCGTGCTGAAAACGAGCTGCGGGTCCTCAGCCACCATTGAGAGGTGCGGTCCAAGGCCTCTGCCACCTCCATCAACGTGTTGCGCAGCAACGTCAACAGCGCCCCCCTGGGCCCATCGCCATCACCTGCTGTCGCGACAGGTGCGCATCATGGGCCATGGAGACATGAGACCATGTAGACTGGGTCCAAGGAGATTGGACAAAATTCTTCCGGGCACAACCTTCTGAAAGCTTGAAGTCCAAAATTAAGATCAATTTGCAAGAACTCTCATCCTTCCCTCATCCTATTCATCCTCCAAAAATCGAGGTATTGCCCTGCGAACAGCAAGTTAGTTTAACTTGAGTTCAAATCAAACACTCTATCTGAGCTACATGAGCTGAACAGCGTTGGTGAACACCCTCACAGATTCCCCCGAACACATCCTTCAAATTCCTTGCAGTTCTTGGGTGTCCTTCGTTCGCCCAGCCCTCGTCCCCTCGCCCCGGCCTGAGAAGGCTAAGGCCCAGGTGAGTTCCAAGATGGACGTCGCGAAATCAAAGGCCTCCTGTGGCTCCTGGGTCGGACCACGTTGTCACCACGGATTTCGGAAAAATACCGCCTTCAAATCTGGTGCAGCCTGAAAGATCCTTTTCAGGCCCTTAAATGCTCTCAATGCATCCAGCTATCAGTTCAAGGCATTGAATGCTGGAAGTTCTGCTCGAATCCAGTGTTACTTGGAATGCATGACCATCTAAGAGCATCTAAGAGCATGCGAATCGAAATGTGCGTTTTGTCAAAACAACCAGCCCGACTGCAGGCATGCCCTCCTGCGCCGTCTCCTTTTGCACCTGGCTCAGGTGTGGATGGAAGCTGAAAGCAAAGAACTATATAAGTGTCATGAAGTGTCATGAATTTGCTTGAAAGGTCTGAGTCTGCTCCATCCCTCCCCCTATCCCATCATCTGCGCAGAAGAACACACTGACACTCGTCTTTGGGCCCAAGCTGTTGGCTTCCCCAGCTTCCTCCCAAGCTTTTGGGCCACGGCGGCGGTCCACATGACGCGGTCCACATGACGGCGGTTTTCGGCGATGAGCTCCTCGTGCGTTTTCGGGGCTGTTCAATGCCCAGATGTTCTGGTTGTGTGAGGTGTTGTGGTCTCCAATCCCCAAACAAACTTGCAGCCTTGCAGCCTTGCAACCTTGCAGGTGCAGAACCCCAGCAGCCTTGCCAGACAAACTTCATAAAAGTGGTCTCCAATCCTAAAAAAAAGGGGTGTCTTGCAGCCTTGCAGGTGATCAGATTCCACTGAACTCCAGCCATGGGTCCTCTGTCCGGTGATACTCACTTCGGCTCGCCTGGCAAAGCACTTGCGCCAGCTGCTGGGGCAAAGTCTTCTGCAAGTGCTGCTCTGAGATGGTGAGCAGCTCCTCTGGAATCCTTAGGAAGGTTGGAGGCTTCCAGAAAAAACGAAGACTTGGTGAAGCTGAGTGGAGGCGAGGTGAAGCTGCGGGCTGCGGTGGAGGTGGTGCCCAGGGGGACACCACCTCTCCTTGTGAGCTATGGTGGAATCCTTGGGAAGCCAAGCCCTGAAGGCTCACCTTGGCGCTATGAGGATACTAGTACAGATGCTATGGCCAAGGTGTTTCCTCTGTCAAGGACGGCCAAACATCCTGTGTGCCATTGAAGACTCAGCCAGATGATACTCTTGAAGTAAGCACCAACCCCTGTGTTCGATCGCACCAAGTTAGTGATTTTCTCACCTTCTGCGATCAGAAGAACAAGTGCCACGTCATCCGAAGGTTCTTGAACTTCCAACTGTGCTTCCAACTACCTTTCGATGTGAGGCCGGCCTACTAGGCGGAGTACTCGTTCTCAGGTACCCTCACACCAAACACCACTTAGGGTGAGTTTTTGGGTGAGATCTGAAGTCTAACTCTGACTCTGACTAAGAATGTCACTCATGTCGCATCATTTTGAGGTGGATCCTCCATTGCTTTGCACGAACATCTGAGGTGATTCCTAAAAGAGCATGTCTCCCTTGCAGGCGGAAATGCTTCCACTAATTCAGAAAGGCCAAGATTCGAGAGCTCCAAGGTGGGGAAGGACCAAAGCAAGTTCGAGATCTCTTGCAAAGCTGATCTGTTTGGCAAGATGCGTTTTCCCACCTCAGAGACATGCTGCCACCAAAGAGACAAGACCCTCTTGTAGATGATTCAACTTCCCATGGCATAGAATGGAGGTTGATTCAACATCAGGGCATAAGGTATCCAAATACACACATGTGCCTGGTGCCTTGTCTTAAACGGTTAAACCGTAACCTGGATTGCATATAAAATTTTCATCTTCAGTAGTTTCTTGTGCTGCGAGTTGCCTGTGCCTTTTGGAAGCTTGTCTGCTTAAGGTCCTTTCCTTTGCTGAAAGCCGGTCTTCAAGAGATCTCTTGAGTTGGCTTCTTGCTGGTTTCGTGCGCTTTCTGTGCCAAATGTTTTCGTGTCAACTCATTTACACCTGCACAGTGCCTCAAAATTTATGCTCTATGCAGTGTCACCACAAGCTTAAGCAACCTTCCGCAACTCACTCTTATACTTGTATGCACACTGCCTCTTATGAGCAGGCCTTACGTGTACCTGCGCATATGATCGACTATTTTCAGACCATGCTCACCTCTCTTCAGACACCCATCCACCAAGACGGGCGATCTGCAGGAAAACCACTTTTCCAGGCTATCTGAATCCCAGTCGCCAAACGTAGCGCCGCCTCTGCAGCGACCTTCGGCATCAAAGCCAGCAGCGCAGGTGTGGGGCTGCCGAGGGTGGCGATGGACCAGGTGGTCATGGCGAGGTTTTGAAGGGTGGCCTCCTGGATGCGGACCGAGGCCACCCTGCTTCGGTGGACCAACATGTTGAAGAGATATATGATTGTTGAAGGATATATAATATAGCTGTTTAAGAAGTCAAAGTGTTTGATTCATACAAGCAACAACACATTCCAACCATTTCTTTTTTAACCATACAACGTTGACGGCCCACTGCTATACTGGTAGGTCTTCGCAATTCTGTTCTCGTGTTCCTATTATTGTAATCATGCTTAGCTGGGTGTGGGCCTTTGTTCAATCTCTTTAAGAATGGGGAGGGCCGAAATCGGATATGGCACCTGCCCAAGGTGTTCGAGCCAACACCCATGGGTCCATCCGAGTGTTGCCAAGGTCTTAGGATGTTAGCTCCTGTTGGTGACAGGCCATTGTGCCATTGGGTTAGGGTGTGTCCATATGACATCATGCTTTATCGCAAACTTGATCACAGCCAACCGTCAAACAACCAACCAGCACAATAATTGATAACTACGCACATCTACTACACGTCAAAAGATCTCGCTTAACATGTCACAGTCAACATGGTCATGTCCTCAATCACCTTTGCAACAATAATATACGTATTCCAGCAGTCACAAAGGGGTGCTATCCATGGAGGTAGTCGGGGTGCCCCTGTCACATCCACTCACATAAGGGGACTAAACACCACCCCTTTGTGACTCCTGGTTTACAAATTGATGGTGGATGAGTTGAACCCCGAAAAACCGGAGTCGGTGTACACGATCCGACTATCCCAAGGCCATATATATCAGACTTGGACGATGTTCTTCTTGACATGCGCACACAAAGGCGGTGCAAGGCACCGATCTAGAGCAGAGGGCATCCCAGATCTGCCACAGCGCGTGCAATGTTTCGACTAACTTGCCCCTACCTTCTACTCCAAAGAGTGAAAGGATCCTGCCAATGGATACCGTCATGGTGTCGTGGGGCCACCATCGTGACGACGAGTCCTGTCCTGCAATGTCTGAAAGACTTGATCTGGCCACGAGCACCAAAGGCGCTCGGGCGGACGCTCCTCACGGCCGGTTGCCGAGTGGACACTTGTGGTGGGTCAGACTGCACCAACTGGTGAAGATACACGTCCCTGAAGGCTTTCGTGGATGGCACCCCCGTGGACTTGGTATTCGGACTTCAGTCTTTCCAGGGGCCGTCCGACGTCCACGTTGGCCCATGATTGCCGATCTTCACACCTCCTGGTTCCAGTCCCGATTCGGTCGATGCAAGGACGTCCTTCGGATGGAAAATCCATCAAAGCATGGCCCCAAGAATCCATAGGCAAGTGTTTTTCATTCGGAATGCCCCGGCCCCAACATCCAAGGAAATCCACGCTTGTTGCCAATGACTCTGCCATGCTGGCAGTTGATTCTATCGACCGACTTCCCTACATGGCTCCACTGGCGTCGGAAACCCTTTGGCGCGTCGTTTCACGCCTCCAGCTTGGCGAAGCTCCACATGCCATTGGCCAAATCCTGGAGCTGCGGAGCGGGGGAGAACCCCCGTTGCTACTGACTATAGAAGTTCACCCCTCATTTTATCCAGCAATTGGTTAAATAACATGACTTTCACAGACCAAAGGTCTGAACCATGGACCATATTATTTAAGACCAACCCTTGAACTAAATGAGGCAAATAATATGGGCTTTCCGTGGTTGACCACACTCATTTTAGATAGTAGCAACTGCTTATAATATGATGGTAGTATTGAGTATTTGAACTTAGAACATATATATTTATAGTTGAACAATTATCTGCTCCGGTTGACTTGGCAATTGAATACAGATCTGAATTGTTCAGATCCAAGTCAAAAGTTGCCATCTTCCAAGAAATACAGTCTTGGAGGCCTTGTAAACCTGGATCCTGACAATGGACCCAACATCAATGACCGCGCAACATGGAGACCCAACATCTGCACTTCAGAAACAAACAATGTGTAGTTCCCAGCATTGTATCTTTTTAAACAAACCATTGCTTAAGCATCATAGAATCAACTAACAAATCAGAGTGTTTCTTCTCGACTGGCCCGTGCCGCACGCTGCGACATGAACCACCGCGAGGTGAACGGGGCCTGGGCATCGAAGTGGGCGATCTGAAGGGCTGAGGCCTCTCCAATGCGTCTCATCAGCGGCCCAGCCTGTGCACCGACCGCATGGACATGGTGGGACGTGGGACGACGTCAACGGCGGTGTCGTGGTCGGTGTCCAAGGATGTGTGAAACCAGATCGTTTGGAAAAGAAACAACACAATTTGTAAGTGTCGAAACGGGGGATGGTTCATAATTATGGGAGCATGTGTTCAGTCATGTTCTTTATTTTTCCTCTCACTGTTGAGTGTTTGGTGATTTGTGCTGAACAGGGGATTTTCTGCAACCCACTCCCTAGCTTCGAAGGCTTTCTCGAGCCGGACGAAGGTGTTCCCACCATTCTTATTAGCTTCATGCAAAAAAACTTAATCGTCACTCCTGATGTCAGATCGCATCGATGAGTTGGGATTTGGGCCGGTGGCACACTTGGTCGTGGATCCTTCTCCCTCATTCGAGCTATGGTCCGACCGAAGATGTTCGCGGCACGCCCGCAGGTGAACACTGATTCAGCGGCTTGGGCGTGTTGGCGAATTGCTCCGGATCCTCATTACTGCCCTTGATTGACTTGACACCCCGCCTGGGCGCGCGCTGCGGTAAAAGCCCAGGCGCTGTTGGCCAGGTCCTGATGGCGGAACTGTCTGGACTTTGGCCACTGGCCCGGCAGTGAAATCTAAACAGCCCAAACACACCATGTAGGACACATTGCATAGTATGATGATATAATACCTATATATGTTACCTTCAACCACCCCAATGTGGATAAAGATACCACACAAGGAGTTAAAAAATCACAAACCATCAGCCAGATGATTCGGTGCCCCAAGTCGAACCAATTTGAAGCTTCTGGCTTGCCACCTCTCCCTGCCCATCTGAACAGAGTTCATGAAGTCAATGATGTCGCCATCTCGAAAAATCCCGTTCCCAAACATCCATCAATGGGTGGAGCAGCAGGACCCACTAAAAATGCAGCTATATATCCTTTCAAAAAGGTCAAACATCAGAACTAGCCTGTCGCTCTCCATGTTCCGCTCCTTTTTTTTCCTCCTCCCTTCGGTGCTGGAGGGCGCCGGACCTCCGATCCCCACGTCCGTCGCAGCGCCCCTCCACGGCGTGGTCCGGCCGCCGTCAGGTCACGGGTCCTGAGGTCCAAAGCCTTCCAGACTGCATGCGGCAAAGGCATCGAAGAGACTGGGCGAGTCAGCGAGTCGCGACCGTACCGCGACCGCCCCCGGGTGAACACGCGGATGGTGGTGGCCATCCGGCGGCGGTCGTCGGCCGGGGGGGGGTTGGGATCCGGCAACGCGTGGTTGTTTAGGTCCGGTTCCGTGCCGCGGTGGCAAACACCATGTCCCCGTCCTCCGCAAAAAAAGGCACGACTCTCCGTTAGAAAGGCAGCTGAAGAGTTTTGTATAGATGTCCCATAACTGGACCCTTGTAGGCCTGTGGATGGCAAAGATCTGCAGGATCGGCAAATCAAACATATGGACATCTCACGGAGTGTTTTGTTTTATGGCCCCTAAGAGACATTAAACGCCTTCAACGTGTATCGAATATTTGTTCTACATGGGTGTGGCCAGAAACCCTGGTATGGATCGTTCCGCGCTGCAGTGAGAGTGATCCAAACCCTATGGATCAGAGCGCTGATCCAAGCCCTATGGATCAAACCGACAAGTCACTTGATCCAAGCCCCCGACATGAACACATCTGCATGGTGGCACTTCACCCACCACTTTCTCACCAATTCACTGTGAACTGTGCAGGTGGTGGCTTCCCAGATCAAAGCCATCCTGTTTGTCCGCTGTGAATTTGGGCTCCACTGTCCACATATTGGGCATGGTTTGGCACTGAGCGGCGGCAATGAGTGTTGGGGCACATTCTTCCTCCAACTCAAGCACACGATGCAAGAAGCCCAAAAAGGCCATCAGCTGGCCACGCATATTGGTGACTCAGTGGGCTCTCAAGGCAGTTAACAGGTGGTGGCTTCAGCTCTAGATTGGAGGCTCACTCCGAATACTGGTTAGTGGCTGCCGCTAATTCTGTTTGGCCTTAATATTGTGTTCTAGCACCTTCTTTAATATGGGCTATTTGGGTTGGATTCTCCACTCACAGGGTTGCATAGCCTAATGGTAAAGGCGTCGGTTTCCAATTCTTCACTTCCACAGTGTGAGGGTTCGCATCCCCGCTGTGATCACCCTTAGTGGCTTCCGGTAATTAATTTTTGGCTGGAATGGGAAGTCAGTTTGAAGTTGAGTCTAGTGGCTTCCGCTAAATCTGTGGTGGTGGTAATGCTGGTGACAGTGGTGAGTAGCAGTGGCAGCAGCAGTAAAGCTGTTGCAGGCAAGTGCAGTGGCAGTAGCAGAAGGAGTTGTGGCAGCAGAGGTGGTTGTAGTAGTGGTTTGTAGTAGTGGTGGTTCGAGTCCCGGCTGTGACCACACTTAGTGGCTTCCGGTAATTAATTTTTGCTGGAATGGGAAGCCAATTTGAAGCTGAGTCTAGTGGCTTCCGCTAAATCTGTGGTGGTGGTAATACTGGTGATAGTAGTGAGTAGCAGTAGCAGCAGCAGTAAAGCCAGCAGCAGGTGGCAAGTGCAGTGGCAGTAGCAGAAGGAGTGGTGGCAGGAGAGGTGGTTGTAGTAGTAGTGGTGGTGGTGGTTGTGTGATCCAAGGGCTTGGATCACACACCCACCTTTTGATCCATACCCCATGGATCGAGGTATGGATCGTGTGTGGGTTTGGGTGTGTGATCCAAGCCTTATGTTTCTGGCCGTAGCCACATGTCGATTTGGATATGGAAAATCATGTGGAACCCACATGTGTCATAGCCAACCACTTTGCAAGCAGTGTTCATCTGGCAAAGTGCAATAAAACATCACATTTAAATGATTGACTCGACAATGGTTCGCCTTTATCCCCTTCAGCAGGTTCGCTTGACTTCAGCACCCTGCCAAGAGTAATAGTAAGGCTTTGAGAGTGCAAATATATCGGCCTTTTCTTGTTCTACCATCCTGAGAGCCGATGTCAAACGCTCCATTTGACTGGAATCATATCTACCTATACATCACCCTGTTCAAGCATCTCATTCTAGATCAACCAACAAACATGCCACAAACTTGGGTCGACCCAAAACAAAAACCTGGTGAGCCACAACCCACGGTCCCCCGTGAGCCGGCGCGCGAGGACCGCGCGCAGACCTCGGGTCCGGAAAGCTGCAGACTCCCAAGGACCAGGCGAGACCTGCGATGTCCTGCGAGCTCGAAGAACGCTGCGGCCCATCCGCCATCAGCGGCTCATCCCCAAAGCCAGGCTGCCACGGCTCAACAAAACTCGGTGTGGCAACAAGTGTCAATGTCCAATAAATGTATTCCAGGACCATGCGTTGGTTTCATGGAACCAGCAAAGCGGGAGGGGTTGAGCCCAAAACGCGTGGGCGTGAGTTCCCGATTTCAACCTTTGGCCTGGAGGTGGATTGTGCAGAAAAGAATAGATAATGCAATGTAGAAGCTGATGTTGTCTGAGTAACCCTCTCTTGAAGAGTTGCGGCCTTTCAAGGCCTGGGCTGACCAACATCTCTTTCTGCTAAGAGCAAAGCTTTCTGACAAAGCCTCCTGGTGAAATGCCCAACATCATTTTAGATGGACTGAATCTCCCCCCAACTGACATGGAGAAGGTCCAACTATTTCCAGGCTTCTTGTCCGGCATTGCAAGTGCAATCTAGAAACCTATACAGCCTATACACGTTTTCTCGAGCAAACCAAGTATTACTGCAAGTCATGCACCTTGCAATCAAGATTCAGCCTCACAAGCACCATGACCAAGTTATATACTGAGAACCCCAACACTTCCACAGCTAGAAGAAAACATCACTTTGAACGAAGCCAAACAAACTTGGACCGTTCGCCGCGCTTCATGACTCAATGTTGATGAATCACACCTTTACCTACGCTACCTTGGATTTGCTTAAGAAACCTGGAAGAATAGGGGAAACGTCACCTTAAGCAAAATCAGGCAACCTATAGATGGTTTGATCCAGTGACCACGGCCGCTTCCGCCGGTCCTGCGGCTGCAAGGCCTCCACCGGCCACCGGCGCGCAGCCTTCGCCAAAGCCGCCAGCAGTGGCAGGGTGATCAGCGCGGAGGTGGCAAAGGCTCAAGCAGTGTTCACCAACTCCTGTCGGAATGGTGGACCATCGAAAAAAACAACAAAAAGTATCTAGGAATAGTATGAATCCGAGAAAGACCCTGACCCCCGTCCTTTGTTTTGGTCAGTCACCTGCTTTTTCATTCCATAAATCAGGGGGTATGCGATCTCCAACATCTCGCGGCTGCTTGAGCTGTGGGTCATTTGAGAACCGCACAGGCCAGGCCAGGCCGATGCGCTTGGCTTGAAAGCCGTGTGCGGCTGCGATTTTAGAATGACTACTGGAAAAGGAGTGGTGTAGGTGGAAGTCTGAGTGCCCATTTGGGTAGTTCCAAGTCTTTCCAAAGGAGATGGAGAAAGTGAATTCCTGAGAAGCGAGGACGGCAGAATCTGCAACATGATTCAGGAAGAGACTGTGGTTGGTGGGTGACAAGGCAAGACGCACTACCAAAACTGTATGTCTCCCTTTGAAAAAGGCATCAAACAAAGACACCCGACACCTCTCTGAGCCTCTCTCGCTCTCCTGCACTTTGAACTCCCCCATGACTTGGAGACTGCGCTCGCCCAGCCGCTCCATCAAGGCCACCTGTGAGAAGACGTCGACCAAATGCGATGATGAAGACGTCGACCCCCAAAGAGATTCCAATAGATTCTCAAAAGGCTATCCCTTTGAGACTATGCGCAGCATTTGTATATCCATTTGAGAAACCCTCTATCCCTGCTACCTTATCATGGAAGGAGATTGCACTTTGGAGGAGTGGCCGGTTCGGTTTCGAACCTATCTTGCAGAGTCACCTGTACGTGTTTCAAAAGGAAGCCCCAATGGACAGAATGCTGACGCTCCTACAAGTCCAGGGGGTCACTGGGATGCTTGATCCAAACAGCTTGACGAACCTGACAAGTTTCATCAGGCCTTGATCCTGGGACTGTGAAAATAGAGCCACCGGGACCGGGAACTCTGAAAAGATATCTATGGATTTGCCCGGGTCATGTGGAGCACTCAACCGAAGTTCTTGTGGTCAAAACTTGAGTGATCTGATTGGGGGGTGCAACTGGATTTATGCCAAGGGTCCTCAGGAATTCATCATCGAACATTCGCGACATTTTTTGGAGAACAAACAACGGAGCATTTTGGTTTACAACTGAAATGGAGTGTGTTCATAGCTTGCTCGTTTTTTCTTCTCACGAGACACATACTTATGTCATCCCTACTGTGCAGAATTGTCGGGTGATCGACTGCAGTCAGGAGGGGCAATGTGAGTTTCTCAGTCAGGTCTCATCAGTTTCTCAACCATCCAAGCATTCTGGTCGGTCACCCCGCTCCATGCGGTCTCTGGGAACTGTGTAGAACTGGGCATGCTTGTGGTTCACAGGAGTGGGGGTGACCCCCTATCCCTTGTGAGCTCCTATCATTGATTCAGGAATGAACCCTTAACTGGCCAAGATGTTCGGAGAAGGTCGTGGCTGAAGCCCATCAATGGGGGCCATCGTCATGGCCGTGTAATTATACCCTTCCCTCTCACGGGCGGAATCTTCATGTCTGATGCGGACGATCAAGGTACAAACAACTCGAACACGTCCAATATCATCCAAATCCCTTGGGTTGACACACCTACTTGTAGCATCACCTATAGGCCTATAGGTCACCCATCCCCTCTGGAGGCCTCAAGCATCTCCAGGGTCGCTAAAGCCCACGCAGTGTTCGACAGCGTCTGCGGGCGCAGTGGTCCTTCCGCCACTGCTGATGTGGCCAGAGCCTTGGGGTAGCCGCTGAGGGCTGTTCTGCTGATCGCAAGATTTTTGCTGAAAGAGATTGTCCTGGAACCAAGAGTTGTTCCTATCACCGGGTGGACACAGGGTGGACACAGTTTCCTTTTCGAGTGGCAACTAGAAACACAAAAGCATCAGCAAGTCTCTTTGTCTGTGAGGGTTTGCAACTGCCCGGTCGAGACACAATGACGAATGACATATGATGTCATAGCAATGATGAGTGTTTGCTCAGGCCAAAAACAGAACCGAAGCTCATCTCTGGAGCTCAGAGATGAGCGGAAAGTCCGAAAATACGTGTGGACATGAGAAGGTTCACCACCAGAAGCTCTTAATGGTTCAATTCCTTTCACCGTTTTCGGAAATGCCCTCAGGTGCAGGTATGCAGCTCTAGCCTCTAGAAGTTGCTAGCCCAAGACGCAAGGTGAATTTAAGATTCAAATAAAAATGGACTGCAGAAGTTCTCGCAGACCTTCCTGGACCATCCAGCTCCATGAGAACCTTGGAAACAGCTTGTTTTTATCCTTGGAAGACAAATCCTTCTTGAACAGAACACTTTTGACAGCGAACATGAACACCACCCTGGCCCACCGGTCACCTGGCCCCCTGGCCAAACCGAATCACACCGATGCTGAATCGGATCGTTCCAGAAACCACCAAAGGCCTCTCAAGCACCGCCAGCGCGGTGAAAGATCACAAGATGTTGCTGAGGTTCTGCTGGTCATACTCCCAAAGCCTCCGGATTTCATTGGACACCTGAGACCGAGACCTCACCTCGACATAAATCGGACTCGACTCCGATGGGATAAGGAACACAAACCAACTCCCTTTTAGAATTGAAGACTATAGACCCACCATAAATGGCTCGACCACTGGGTGCTTTGAATACACACCTGCCGACCACTGGCGACCATCCTGCCCTCCGTCGACGTCCACCCGGGACAAACCCTCGTGCGGGACGACCGGACGACCGGTCCAGGTCGAGGGGCGCGTCGAGGCGACCTGCTCGTGCCCGACGACCCCCCTGTCTGGTGCCCCTACAGCCTAACCGTTCGGTCCCCAACAACAGGCAGGTACTGCGAAGGACCGCCGGTGCGAAGGACAGGCTGTGCTGGATCCAATCCAACTCCATTCCAACTTACTTGCGTAAGGCCAAGCAGAAGACCTGCAGGTTGCAGGTGTCATTGGCCGAAAAAAACACCCATTTACTTCGCTGAACTCGGCACAGCGTCGCCTCTTCTTTATCGGTCGCTCTGGAGCGATCAACTCCACCAAGGATCCCTTAAAAACTCCCAGCTGCGCGTGCCGCCTCGCACACATGGCTTTGCCAACCATCTGGAGAAAGCGCCGATGCAGCAAGGCCACCTCACCATGCGGGGTGGCTGTGGGTCAGAACCTGAGGGCCCTGGTTGACCACGGCAAATGAAGAGAATAGACGACCAAGGACGTCAACTGGTCTTGACCCACAGCCAAATGATCTCCTGGTGCCCTCACCCTGTGCTCTCCAGGAAGCGGTGGCCTGTCCGCGTGTGAGAGTATCTCTTCACAGGAAGAACTGGAGCATTTGTGGTATAAAACAGCAAGAATTTAGTGATCGCATCCTCTCCGCTCCCAATACACCAATCATAGATGACAGCCCTTTTGACATATTTGGACCATCCCCTTAATACATATACCGGCCTGTTTGAAACTGATAAGTCAAATTGGATGAGCACTGGTGGGTACACTGGGTACACTGGGTGTCCAACCAGCCTTTCAATTTTTGCGAAGACCGAAGAATCTTCTTGGGACCTTAGAAGCTGGTTGACTTGTGGATGATCTCAAAAGCATCATTCACGCGGGGCAATATGTTCTGTCTGCCAGTGTCGCGATGTGTCGCGTTCACTGGCCTTGGTCTGATTTCTGTAAAGCCCAAAACCAAAACCCTAGTTCCAAACACATCCAAACACCATTGGAAATGCCTTACGGCATAGCATCTCAGAACTTGTGCTTAGTACAGGGGGTGCAGTGCAATGGAAAAGAGCCATCGAACCTGCTGACGCACCCCAGACTTGGCCCAAGACTGCGTTCAAACGTCACCCCTTTCAGTATATGTCAAGCATCTCTGTATATAAATGTATCTATGTTGACTCCCCTTCCAAGAATCATGGAAGTGGACGTCGTTGCATTTTGCGAACAGTGTATTCATGACTTTGGGCAGGGTATTCATCAACAGTCAACTCAACGGTGAAGAATCCCCTTAAACGTTCTCTGTGTAGTGTAGACCCGTACTCCTGAGTCATCTACCAGCCGGTGCCATGTGCAAACAAGCGAGCTGTTGGGGGCTTCGTGTGGCGAAGCTTCCAGCGGTGGTGTGGCTTCCAGCGGTGGCGGCTGGTGTTGTGTGTTGGTCATCCAAGACCAATGACCAATGCCAAGCCTTGGCTCCTCTACACTCTGGGGATGCTTGGGAAGTCGCCTGCCGTCGCCTGCCTGGCCATCCTGTGATTCGGTTGTTCTGTGGATTCAGAAGGCACTTCCAGTTCGACATCAATGAACCATTGCAAAGAAACCATGCAGCTGGAATCTTGCAGAGCACTTGCAGACGAAGGGCACAGTAAGTTCCAACCATGATTCAAAGATGTTCGCCCACGAATTCACGGAAACTGAACCGTAGTTCCAAACCAACGAGCACATGAATTGGACTCCTCAAAAAGGAAGACTCTTCACACCCCTCATGATGGCGAGTACTGGTACCCCAAGCAAAACGACCATACTCTCCCACCTTCGCCAGGCTTCACAAGCTGTTAGCCACATCTTGTGGCAGTGCACCTCCACTAACGCACCAAGCTCGCCCAAAAGAAACAACGCCATGAGAAACGAGGAAAGGCAAAGCACCCTTTGAAATGGGGTATTGTTGATTGGGTTCATTTGGTCCACACAAACATATAGGTCTCGACGTGTGCATGATCGTACCAATGGCTTTCAGACAGGTAGTGTGCAATGCTGCCCAAATTCCTAATTAAACATGTTTTTAATATATAGATCTTACATTAATGAAACCCTCCTCAATCTCTGTCTGCTTCTTGCATCCATTCGTGTACTCACTTTACCCGAACAAAGCCTCAGGCTGGGCCCGCGAGCTAGGCGCTTTCAATAGCCCTCCCGGTGCCACTTCCCCACCTTCTGGACCTGCACGTATAAAGCTTTCAGCAACGGCCGCCATGACGGGCAAATCCACCCTGCGTATGGTGGCGAAGATCCAAGCGCTATTGGCCTGACGCCCAAGCGGCTTGGACTCGGCGAGATGTGGCGAGATTCAACAACCAAAAATCCTCAAGGACCAAGCGTGGATTCCAAGGTAGATGAAGAAACAACATAAACAAAGAGGAAAGTCTCCCCCTAAGTCATTTGGACAAAGGTTCCAAGGTAGATCCACCATGTTCTACATCAAGCTCGGACGACTCTCCAATGGAATGCCTTTCATCACTCTCCGACCACGTCCGACGTCCGACCCTCTAAGATGCAGCCCCGTGTCCGACCACGACTCGATCGCTCGAAGCGAAGCGGTGGTCCACCCGGGTGACATGGACAGACCGAGTTCAGGTCGAGTTCGAGGCCCAATTCCTCCCGATTCCAAGACCTCACCAATTCCTTCATGGCGAACAGAACGCAAATGGTGTGGGTGGCGACCATTCACGGCTTTTTGCTTTCAACGTGAGACTGGGACACCGGCAAAGGAGGAGGAGTTGGAAGTCGAGCGTTTCAAGCGGCCGGCGTGATTCCTGCGGTGCGTCGTGCCACCGGTTCTGCGAAGCGGCCGGTGAGGAAAAGACAAACACCCAAACTCACGGACCCCATGCATGCCGCATGCCTGCCTACGTTTTTCGTCGTTTCCCTTTGACCACCACCATGCCTGCCTACGTTTTTCGTCGTTTCCCTTTGACCACCACCATGCCTGCCTACGTTTTTCGTCGTTTCCCTTTGACCACCACAAGGTTTTCCCCGAACTGTCCATCTGTTCATGATGACGTGGGTGTCCCCGTCTGAAGACGGTGATCCACTGGGTAGGACGCCAAGCGGCCGATGCGATCTTAAATGCTTTCAGCCCCATCCCATGCCCTGAAATGGACAAAAAGGATCAAACCAAGTCACTAAGTGCCGCGCTTGGAATTCTCCCAGTCGATTCTTAAGGCTTTCTACAATCGCTCCGGCCGCGCTGTCCTTTGACCACACCTGACGTGAGGCAAGCACTAAGCTACTCCGGATGAGGAAAACAACCTCGATGGAGCAGGGGGACCGAGTCCCAGAGTGGATGGGACTGTGGACTGCCGCCCCAGACAAACCGGCACCACCACTTTTGGCCTGAACTCTCGGCAGTCCGACATGGCAGTTTTAGGGGTCGTGTCTGGGAGTGAATTCTGGGGAAGAGGCGTTGTGTCTTTGGTCTTCGGGGTCGGACTATGGAGCTCAGGATGGCAAAGGATGGCAAAGGTCTTGAGGGGAGAAAGGCTCCAACAAGTGGAGTGCGGCCACCAAGTGGTAGGGTGATGGGTCGACTATCATTCACAGTAGGTGCTGCTTCCTGCTGTGGCTAGTGGGTGCTCGTGAAATCGTGCCTTGTTTCTTCTTCCCAGGAAACCCAGGAAACACCCGAAAGCCAGGACCCGGAAGCCATGAAACTCTAGATCAACGGCGGTGTTTGGCGCACTTACCCAACACCAAGGGCTTGGATCATCCTGGATCAGGTTTCAAACATTCGTGCACTCAGCTTCAACTTCCATACTTGATTCAAAACGCAAGGAAGCCAACCAAAAACCACCTCCGGGACCTTTTAAAGAGTACTAGCCAAGGCCAATATCCGTTCCACATCGGATTCTGCTCCACGACCGCATTCAGCAACTGAACAGGGTGGATCATTCATCATGCAGGTGTCTCATTCTTTTGCCGAAAGATAGAGCACGGATAAACACGGATTTATGAAACTTACCCCACAAACGATAGAATGCACTCGTGACTCGTAAAGAAACACATTGGACTCGCTCACGTCCTCTGCCGCACACACATCCGCTCTCTTGTGCAGCTGTGAACGTCCGGCGCCTTCCCAATCGTCCAGGCGAGGTTGGACACGTTCTGTGGCGTCGACTGAGAGATCCTGAGCGGATCCGGTCGACGTATTCCGACACCAACATCCCACGGTGGTGTGGCGTTGGTGAACGTATGGGCGTTTGGACGTGTTCCGGACACCACGGCGGAAGCGCGCCGTCGCGCGGTATGCGCGGTGTGATGGCGGGCGGAAGGTCGGTGGAGGCGTAGTAGTGGGCCTCTTACCGGGAAGACAGGATGGACAAGATTGGACATGGTACAGGTTTGTACTACCCTAGGGATCCAGTCGTTACTACCTTCTCAGAAGGCACCTGGACCCTCCAAACCCACTCCAGTCCCACCTTCTGAGAAGGTACGACTGCATCCCTAGGGCTAAGAAGAACGAACAAAGGCAAGGATGCGAGGATCGGCACGCGTGAGAAGTGAAGCATGGTCGCAGGTCTTCGATCGAAATGGTGAGAAAAACATTACCACCGGTTACTCTTCTGACTGGTGCTTAGTAAGGAATATAGGTATGGATGATTGTGAGGAGGTATCGATATGTGAGGTGTCATTCCCTCAAGCACCAGTCTGAAGTATACCTTGAAACGCTTTGGATTGAAAGACCCAGAGTTAAGGGACCAGCTGTTGTCGCCCTTCCACCAAAACCTCAACTACACAGTTTTGTCGGACTCCTACAGGAGCCCGAGAAACAAAAAAAACCTTTCAAGACCACTCTTGGTGCTCAAATCTCATGATCCATATAACTGTTCTGCTTACACGACGGCTGTTTAGCTTCGATGGACACCGCCGTTTAGGGCCGTAAGGGTCCGAGAGTTCCAAAATCACCGAACAAACCCTGAGCACCATCAAACTGACAGGGCCAGCAACAGTGGAATTCTTGAATTGGCCTGACAGGCACCTTTCGAACAAAAAAGAAGAACGAACAATATTCATCTCCGCCAGAAGGGGATTGACCCCGCCTCGGCAAATCCAAAATCTGAAAAGGCAAAAAAACAAATTCCAAGTCTCTGAAAAGGCCAGCCCACCAGCATTTTCTCAAAAGGCACCACCAACAACGTCAAGGCCTGGCGCACCAAGGAAGGCCGGGTGTTGATGTGGTGACTCATGTTGGGTGTTACTGCCCTGGGGGGCGAATCAAGACACTCGCGACTATTAGATAACTATTAGCCAGTTTAGACTTCAGACTATAGATGATATGTTTAGATACTATTCCATGATGTGGCTAACTACAGTACTCATCAGCCAGCACAGTCCAAGCCAATTCTCTGGTTGAAGTCCATCTTTGGACACTCCTACAGGTGCTGTACACCCATTTGTGGTGCTTGGAAGAACACAGAACGACTGGCCGGTCGTAGTTGGAGGTCGGAAACCAACCGCCCCTTTTCAAAGGGTGAACTGCAGGTGATCAGGATCATCTTCCGCAACAGCCCGCTCTTTGTTCCTTCCTCCCCTCATCTCCCCTACCTACCAGTGGTTGTTCCTTCCTCCCCTGGTAGGATCAAGTTTGTTTGTTCCTTCCTTTCCCTCAAAAGGACTCTGTTTGTTGTCCGCGCCTAAACTCTGTTGGCCACGCCCTACGGTGTCCACTCCAATTGGCTGGACATCGCACGCGCCACGAGCGCCGCCACCATTGGTGGACGCTGCACGAGGACAGTGGCGAAGGCTCACCTGGGAACGGATCACGTGGATCATGTGGATCACCAGAGCCACGAGTGTTGGCAAGATGTGATGTCACCGGGGTCAGATCACCGTCGAGTCGTGGCAAGATGGGATGTGTTTGACCCGTCGCAGTCACGTCAAGTATGGGGTGCGGACTCCATGGAGGAAGAGGATAGGTGCTCAGGGTCACATCCACTCACGTTTTCGGGGACGAGCTACACCACCCTGACATGTGACTCCTGGTTTGACCTGTTTTCATTTTGCATTGTCTGAGGGAAGCTAGGTGGTCGGTCGTGGTGGAGGCCATCGCTATTAGTTTGGAGGCCATTGCTAATAGGATGGAGGCCATCGCTAGTAGGTTGGAGTCCATTGCATTACTTCTCTCTCTTCCGATGCCCCAATCCCCATGTCGCCACCAATCTTTCCAGTCGGAGAGCAGAAGATTGGCGACGTTCTGCTGGGAGGATTGTGGTGAAGTCCTCGCGCAGTGGACACAATTGGGATGTTTTTTGGACAATTATATGTCAATGTACTGTTACTAGCATGAGGAAACTCAGCCCTTGGATTTGCAATGTTTAGAATCGGCTACAAAAACGATCTCAAACAACAACGAGATAAATGAATTAGGGAGAACCTGTTTGGCATATCTCAACCAGCCCTAGCCAACCATCTGGTTCCCACGGCCGTAACTTCCTCCCCGGGCCCCGCGCACCGCGGGCGCCCGGGCCCGGGCGGGCCGGCAGTCCGGATGGCTGCTTCAGCCAGCACATCGAACAACGGTTCATGAGCCTCTCACGGTGTCAACTCGTCGCAGGTCCGATGTTGGGGTCCGTCCCACGAGAGAGTCCTCGTCTTTTCTGTGCCAACACATGACCGGGAGAGTCATTGTGGGGAAAACCAATAGAACAAATCACGTAGACTCATGAAATTCATGACCCCACCATTGACCATAATATGAACTATATAGGTGTTTCAATCCATCTCTTCAAGGGGGTTCTTCATCGAGAGTTCACCATCGAAGAGTAGACTCTACTCTTGGGTCCTCTGACGACTCCTGCAACTCCCCGCCCCCGCCGCTCGTTCGATTCGACATGCTCTTTGGTTCCTCCGGGCCGTGGCGCCACGGGCGGAAGGTCCGAAGAAGGGCTTCCCTCCCAAATCCGGAAACGGATCGGCAAACCATTTTGATAGAGGTTCCCATGCGAAACCCACGAATCGGCAACTGAGTAAAGCAACTACAGTGTAAGTCAAGGTTAAAGACACATCCACAAAGAAAAAAACTGATACAACCCACAAACCCAAATTCCAAAGCCAAACCCCCAAAGTTTTCCACGAGAAGCACCGCCTTCGTTACGCATTCCTTCGGGAAAAGACACGCGGCCTGCGACAGGACAGCGCATGCCCATGCACCGTTGGCGACGCCCTGAGCGTCCCATTGGCTGCTGAAGTGTGGCACGGCCGTGAGCAAGACCTGATGATATGATCGCACGACTGGACATCACATTGAAACACACATGATATATACTTGTTGTGCTGTTGTGCTGGCGTTCGTCCAGAACATGCCCGGTATGTGTGACAAGGTGATTTCATACCGGGCTCTTCAACATGGTCATGGCGCGAAGACTCCGTTCTCCATGGAGGAACGACTCGGATGTGGCCACTGAGTCATATGAGTCATATACCTCGTTTTCCACTGGACTCAGCTTGAAACATGTCCTGCCTGGTCGTAGAGCTGGGCTCACGCACACGCTCACAGCATGTTGGCCATGCCCTAAGGGCTGAGCTGCTAAAGGTGCGAGTGGCTCTGGGTCAACGTCTGCTGCAGCAAAGGCTCACCTTGGATATTTTACACGACGAACACATCACATGGAAGTGGATTGACCAAGGCTGCGGCTCCGGAAGGAAGACCATGAACTCCGAATACCAAACAGGTGGTGGGTTTCCACTTCTATATGGAACGTGAGAGTGGTCACCTCGCACTGATGATGCCGTTCTGCCGAGCCAGTTCCTACATGGCTAGGCAGTCGTGTGTCTCCGACTTCCAAAAAAATAACTGAAAGATCCTGAAAGAAGCCATCCACCCTGAAACCATGATTCACCTGACTTCCACCCACTCACGGATGCCAAGCGCGGCACACGGGCTTCGCAAGGTGGACAAAGCCCATGCCAAGTTGGCCACGCCCTGGGCATCGAACTCCGTCAGCCGCTGTGCTGCTCGACGGCCCAGCGCCGCCAGCGCACGGCCGTGCACGGCGCGCGCGGCCATGAGAATCACGGCGCTGAGGAAGACGTCGACATGACCAAGCTTCGCATGCAATGCATTTCTTTTGGGAGGAACATTAGACATGAAATGACATGAAATGACATGAATACTTAAGTGATCTTTTCTGTCTTGAAATGGATGGGCTAGGAGTTTCTGGCAAGTTTGCACAAGAAATTTAATTGTTTATGTATTTCTTTCCATACACCTTGGAATTGATTTGGCCCAGCAGCCCGACCATGTACTTGAACCAAACTCAAGTGGTTGAGCCAACGATCAAAACAATCGCAGCCACTTTGAAAAGTTTTTGTGGTTCAGAAAGTGCACTCTTGCGCTTCATCTGCCGGATTTGGAAGTCTACGATGTCTACGAGGTGGAGCCTATGGAAGTCAGTATGTACAAATCACAGAAACCAGGGTGGAGGCCCCGGCTTAAACAACCAGACTTGTGTCTTTGCTACCTGTTTGTGCTCCGGCCTCGCACATTGTTGGTGAGTTTTTGGACCATTGCTTTTTCCCTTTTAATTTTTAAATAAGTCTGCCCTGTTCTGAGATCCGTATGCAAGAACACCACTTTCCGTCTTTCCTGGATTGTTTTTGTGGAACCTATAGAAACATATTGGCCCGATCCAGCAGTGTCAAGTCATATTGCGAGCATCTACTTGTCTACTTGAGGCAGCACGAGGTGTCCCGATCCCAACTCATCCAAGGTGGCAAGGTCGTGTCGTCCAACTGTTACCAAGTCTAACTCATCTACTGGAAGGAAGCTTCCACCGAAGCTTCCACCAGTCCCGAAGCCCCTGAATATATCAATGGATGGCCATGGTCAGAACCCAAAAATCCATCTCTTGGGGTCTTGGGGCTCCTGAACAAAGACATTCTGATTGGACCACTAGGCCGTCCCCCCAAAAGCAAACAATCTCTGTCAGGTTCACCAAGCTATACCAAGCAGATGGTATGCAGTCCCACCAACTCTTTGAAGCCCACTTAGAACCACCTGATCCACCTCATCCTGTGGCCAAACCTTTCAGCTTTTCCAGGTGTCCGACTTCATGTACCCGCCGGACTTCGTGCGGGGCATAAGCAAAGGTGCCAGGGGCGCAGGCGACAAGACGTGAGGTTTTGGGACCTGTATGGACCTGTGAAACCTCACCTTGAGGCCAGACGTGACCGGAACGACTTCACAGACGTGACCGGAGCGCCTTGGAACTGAGGATGTGATGGAGCAGTCGGCCCTGAGGATGTGCTCGGCCGGTGGGCCGGCAGCCAAGGGGGTTGGGGGGCGGGTCGAGAAGATCGACGCATATAGATCCACCAGGGTGTTTACAAGTTGTTCGTCAAGCGTCTCGGATGAAGGTTTCCGGTTTTGAAGCAAAGGTCCTCTCACCTAGCTAATCCAGATCTGGCGGTCAACTTTGACTTCTACCATCCACTCAGGATATTGTCAATCGGGATCGACATTCCCAAAGAAACATAAACATGTGTTCAACATCACAGCCCAGTGATTCAGCAGCCCAAACTATTTGCACATACCTTGAACATCCTTGAACTATATATGCAAAGTTATGCTGTGACATACCTTGACTGATGAAGTAGTAGCAAGCATCGAACTGAAGTCAGGTTGAATGGCAGAATGATTTCAGCCTCGATGAAGTTCAACCGACATGATGAACCTGTGAGACCTCCATGCTCGAAGCAAACACACAAATATACTCTCCCTGGAACTGACATGGAAGTGGAGTTCACCATGTGTTTGTAGAGGAACCTTATCATCCAAGGGGTTATTGTCCACTTCCATGGTAAGTTCCAGGAAGTGTAGACCTGTATCATTTGGCGTTAATATTCTCTGACAAGAGGATTGGCCCGAGGAGTCTTTTGTGTATGCGCTTGCCGTATGCCCATGCGAAACCATGCATCATCACCAAACTGGTTGAGGTTTCAACCTTTTCATTGTGATTTTGGTGGCAAACGCCGCTTCACAAATAGGTGATGTTCAATGGCCTTCAAGGCACACCAACATACCTGAAGGAAAATATTCAAGGCAATTGACCATGATTTTCTCCAGCAACTCGGGCAACGGTGCAAAGCGGTGAAACAAGGGCAAAGCGAGGGCAAAGCGAAGCCACAAAGCGATCGATGACGGTCCAAGCAGGTCAGTGGTCTTCGGCTGTGTTTGGCGGCGCCGCAATGATGGTGGTAGTGATGGTGGTGATGGTGGCAATGATGGTGGATGGTGGTGATAGAGGTGATGATGGTGGTGGTGATGGTGGCAATGGTGGTGGTGATGTGTGAAGAAGGTGGTGATGGTGGTGGTGGGTCTACGGTGTGGCTTTTGTCCGTGCGGTGAGGTGCTGGCAAGAAGGCAAGCAAACTGGAACTGATCCACAGTGGTCTTCCTCATCTTTGACACACACCTGTCCTAGCCGTCTGCCTAGCTACCAACTCTTCCACCACGTCGTAGATGCATTGCAGACCGTCCGCACACCCACAACATGCTAGAGTCCTCTTTGCACCTCTTCCGGCGGGATCAGCCTTCGAGACTGCCAAGCTGAGAGTGACAGTCCTTGCATTCACATCGAACTTTACCACGTCGTCATGCAGTGTCAGTGATGCGAGTTCCACTTCTCTCAACAAGAAGTGGCCCACAGCCCACAAACCAGGCCTTCCCCTCTCGCCGCAGAGTCTAACTCCATCGACTCGAGGTACAAATCGTTCTCCCCCTCAAAGAGCTTCTGCCAAAACTCAAGTGGCACCGCCTCTGACTTCTTTGCCGGGTCCCGATATGTGTCGCCACGATGCTGGCGATGGCAGCCTCTCTCTGTCACCCGTCGGCATGCACCAATAGGTGCACAGCTGCTCAAGGACCTGAGAATCAGAACTAACCAGCATAGACCCCAAAGCTCCCGAGCCGTTGCTCCTTCCTGACCACCCGCTGGGACCATTTTCCAGGCAGACAAACCATTCAAATAAAGGTCACCGAGGAAGTCACCGGTCACGAACCCGGGTTGTTCACATCGCGCAGCCTTGCCAAGGCGATTCGCAGCAGATGCCAAAACGCAGGTTTCGCCCGAGACTTTCTCCGATTTCTGAAGGCGAACTACATGTCCAAAAGTCACGACTTACTGCACCTGATCTTGAAAAGTCGACATGGACCACCAACCTTCTGGCACACTCTTGTATGTCGATCACTCTTGGGGGACACTCTTGTATGACACTCACACTTGTGGGACACCCTTGCGGAACAATGTCTTGTATAGGACACTGTTGCTAAACACTCTTGTAGGACACTCTCGTGGGACACTCTTGTGCGACACTCTTGTATGTCACTCTTGTCGGACACCCTTGTAAGACAAACACTCTTGTCAGACACTCTTGTAGGACAGTCTTGTCGGACATTCTTGTGGGATGCTCTTGCGGGACACTCTTGTGGGACACTCTTGTGCTTCACTGTGGAACACTTTTGTGGGACACTCTTGTAGGCCAAAGGCCTCCCGTAAGGCCAGTCAAGGCGCCCACGTAAGGCTAGCAAGGCCTCCACGTAAGGCCAGCCAAGGCTCGACACTCTCGTGGGACACTCTTGCAGAACACTCTTGCAGGACACTCTTGTGGGACACCCTTGTAGGACACTCTTGTAGGGCACTCTTGTTGGACACTCTTGTGTTTCACTCTTGTAGGACACTGTTGCGGGACACGCTTGCAGGCCACTCTTGTGGAACACTCTTGCGGGACACTCTTGTAAGACAGTGTGGAACACTCTCGTAGAACACTCTTGTCGGACGAGTCAGACACTCTTATGGACAAGTCTTGTGGGACACTCTTGTGGGACATTCTTGTAGAACACTCTTGTGGGACACTCTTGTAAGGCACTCTTGTCGGACACTGTTGTAGGGCACTCTTGTCGGACACTCTTGCGGGACACTCTTGTTGGAAAAGTGAACCATCACGTCTCCAAAACTAGCGTTTTGTGCGAGACTTATATTCCAAAAATAAAAACGCACTCTCAAGTCTGCAAAACGAGCATTCCGTTCGACCGTACGAGACTTAGGAATTCCTCCAAAATTCACGCGTCAAGTCCCCTCAAGTCCCCTCGGCAGAAAACTGCCGATCTCAAAAAACGCTGCGGTGATTTCATCCTCCACACTTCATCCTCTCATGTTTCCACAAAAGTTTCCTCGCTATTTCATACAAATCTGGCACGTCATGCTTCCATCCAAAACCCTCTTCAAAAGCTTCGCCCAATGGCGCTGAGCTCCACCTGCGAACGGTTGCCGACGGTTGCGAACGGTTGACAACGGTTGCGAACGCGGAGACAACGGGTCGCGTCACGTCGGCTCTACCCGCAGACCCCCAGAGTTAAACGAGAACCCTTCGCTACGCATTCAGGAAAACACACGTCTCCTCATCTTCAAAGTTGGACTTTTGGGAGTTCCTCAGTGACCGAACCTTTGGAGTTCTCGTGAGCGAAGCAACCAGGGAATGAAGTTCGGTCACGAAGTGAACTAGGTCGTTCAACTTCAGGTTGCAGAATTCTGACCATTCCACATAAAGCCTGCTTGACCCACCGAAACATGGATAGAATGGACCTGATGTCTTCCGTGGGGAATTGGTGTGTTTGCCATGAACTGTGACGCGACTTTCAGCAGAAAACAATATGCACAAAGGAATGGCCATAACGTGGGAACTGGTTGCCCCCCAAGCTAGACTGCTAGACCGCTAGACACTTGGGAATGGGTTGCCCCAAGCTATAGACTGCTAGTCGTCGTGAGTCTACATCTTTTCACATCTTCAGTTCCTTTTGGCGCACCTTCCCATCCACAGGTCCTCCCACTGAGCCCCCCAACACCGCACCACGTGGTTCTCCGGTGCAGTGCCTGGTCGCTCGCTCGGAACACGTGGTTTTGGGTATGCAGCCAGGTCACCTGGTCATGTTGGAGGGTTGCTGCCATCGACTCCAGCTACATCTTCACTCAGCCACACTCCCATCTCAAATCCCACCGAACCTCCGTGGAAACGGTGGCAATGAATCATAGAAGGATTCCACAGGGAGGTCGTTCTTTTCAGTTCGGTTCC